CACAGTTGCTTCTTATTTGGTCTCAGGCTTCTCTTGCAACAGTGGTATTATAGATTCCCACGCCGTAAGGCACTATCGGAACAAAAAAAAGAGAGAGACCAAATTAATCGAACCATCAACACATCAGCCTTTCTCTGCCCCAGCTGGCACTCAAGAACGCAATTTGAGGGTTAGCATGTTCCCTCAGCCAACAAAGAAATACCTGTGTTCCCAATAGGCAACTGTTAGTACCCTCTCTCATCTCAGATACGCATGCTGAGCTCTGTGGGCCTAAAATTCACACTCTTAAGATAATCAAATATATAATGTCTTGTGTTAACAGTCACAGCCGAGGTATCTTGGGCAACGCCTCTGCACTTTCAGGATTGCACCTGCCACAAAGGTTGTGGCCCAATTTCTGCTCTCTCCAGACTTTTCCACAAGTGAAACAACACGTTCACACATGGAGCAGGGCTCTTGTTTATTAACAGCCTTCCTGAAAAGGCCAAAGGGCTTCATCAGGTGCCTTTTCAATCAGATACGGAGAAGACAAAGTCCCCCCGCCCCCCGCCCAGACATTTTTCATGTGCAGTACTGCAGCCACATCACTGGCTAAAGGTATTAGCAAGGTATAAGCTTCTCATACATATGGATATTCGTACATACGCATTACACATAAGGGCCTCAAACGGAGAAGCAGCCCTCAAATTACCCACTGCCGAATGATGCAAGACTCACGTGTGCAGAGTTTCATGCAGGCCAGAGGGAATCATGAGGGCATGCCAGCAGAGCATAAGAAAGGAACCGTTTATACTTTAAAACAAGATGCTGGACTGTGTAAAACTCTGTACCTCACACAAATCTAATGAGACAGTGTTCTCCGGCTGCTCGATCCTTTAAACCATTTTGTTCATTAAGATAATGTTACCAAGAACAGCAGCGTCAGTTTGTGAAACTGGCTCTCTCTGGGAAAAGAGTAAGCCTGAGAGATAAAGATCTAGGTGGGTAGCCATCAGTGTTCCCTGTAAGCCGAGTCAGTGTGAGCTAGCTCACAGTTTCTTAGCCTCCGGCTCACAAATTTTTGTCTTAGCTCGGGAAGGACAACTTCAGAGCAAACTAACTGATGCAGCAGCCAAATCGCTCGCTCACAACTTTAATTCCTGTAGCTCACAAAGTAGAATTTTTGCTCACAAGACTCCACAGCTTAGAGGGAGCATTGGTAGCCATGTTAGTCTGTCCACAGCAGTAGAAAAGAGTAAGAGTCCCATGGCACCTTAAAGACTGACAAAAATTGTGGTAAGGCAGGGCTATTTTTGGGCAGGAACGCAAAGGAACGGAGTTCCGGCTGGCTCCCGAGTTGGCCACGCCCACTAGGAACTCATTAGCATAACAGGCCACACCCAACAGCAGAAACTCATTAGGATTGGCTACATAAGGGATGTGTGGCCTAACATGCATAGGAGTTCCTGCTACAAAAAAAGGCCCTGGGTTTTGACAACAAACAAGGTAAACAGAATAAGAACCAAAAGGTGGGTGTGGCTGGATGACCACACTTCTGGTAACATGGGGGTGTGGCCTAATATGCTAATGAGATGTGATGTCAGGGTGTGGCCTAATATGCTAATGAGTTTCTGCTGTTGGGTGTGGCCTATTATGCTAATGAGTTCCTGCTGGGCTTTTTCTACAAAAAAAAAGCCCTGTGGTAAGGTATGAGCTTTCGTGAGCCACTGCTCTCGTCTGAAGAAGTGAAGAGTGACTCAAGAAAGCTCATATCCTACCGTGGATTAAGATAAAGATCTGTCTTTCTTTCTGAGGCAGTTGTGCAGAGAGTCTGAACAATGATCCAGCTTGCTCAACACTGCCTCCATGGCGTTCCGTGTGGAATTTTTGTTCTACCGTGGAGGCCTGGCTCAGTGAACTCTTTCTCAGACTGTTCCATCAATATTTCTGGGTAGCCTGCCAAAGGGTCTGCTCTTCCTGCCCAAATAAACCAGCTTCTCAACAGTAACCACATGCTTTGCCTACCAGGCCAAGTGAACAGCATTTGGACTGCACAGAAGCAGAAACAGTGTGGAAAAACGGAACTGGGCTATGCTAAATATTTATGTAGCAATCCTGAAATGTTCTGCTTCACTTTGGGGATGGGGGCCATGGCTCAGTGGTGGGTCTGCACGCAGAAGGCCCCAGAGGTTCAATCACCAGCATCTCCCGTTAAAAGGATCAGGTAGGAGGTGATTTGGAGAATCTCCACCAGCCTCCCTGGAGACAGTACAGACCTTGACAAGACCAATGGTCTGATTCAGTATAGGGCATCTGGATGCTATCGTAGTCAAACAAAATTGAATTACTGATACAGGAGTTTAAGTTACTCAGTGGATTATTCTCAACCAGGGCTATTTTTGGACAGGAACGCACAGGAACGGAGTTCCGGCTGGCTTCAGAGTTGGCCACGCCCACTACAGCCAAAACCTCTGCATGTGCGTGGCTACAGAGGGAAGGCCTGGAGAGCGACCCCCCCCCAGTGACTCTAAGGCGGGGGGGGCGGGGGTGTCCTGGAAGGATTGGGGAGGCATTTAAATGCATCCCCATGCCTTCACTGGCCTGTCCAAGGGCCGGCTTGCCCGGGTTCCCTCAGCCATGGGGTGCCCTGGCAAGCCAAGGGAATGCAGTTTAAACTGCCTCCCTCCCCTTCAAGGGGGGGCTTGCCCAGGCAAGCCAAGGGAAGGCATGGGGGTGTGGTCTAATACGCTAATAAGCTGTGCTGTCAGGGGTGTGGCCTATTATGCTAATGAGTTCCTGCTGGGCTTTTTCTACAAAAAAAGCCCTGTTCTCAACCATTTGTTCAGTGCCAACGTATAGTATTACCTTCTCATAATATTGGATGTTTTTATCTGCCATTCCCATCAGCAGCTGCCTGAAGTCTTGACGCTTGTTGTTTTGCCATCTTTCCATATCAGCCTTCAAGTCTGCATTGAAGCACTCCACTCGGTCCTGGCACTTTTCAACATCTGTCGGCACCTGAAGAGAGAGAGAATCTGTTAGGCACCACTGTGGCCAAAAAAAAGAAAAAAGTCAAGTCAGTTTTCTCCAAAGAAGACCAGTTCACGGACAAAGTCACCACTTCACTCACAGCTGAATGTCCGAACTACCTCCATTAAAAAGACTGCTGACTTTGAGTGGTACTACCACAAATGTTTGATCTCTGATGGTGCCACAAATACACAAAGCATCCATTAACGTGTATTAATCTCTCAGTGACTTCAACATGTGTGAACCATCCTCAGCCAAGCACTAATTAAAGGAGGGGTTTCCTCTCCCTCTGCCATCGAAGAATCTTAACTCGTCCAACACCACTCTGGCCACACAAACCTTTGGGTTGGCTAAGGGTCACCCAACTCCAGTCTCTACACAGCCATAAACTTGACTGGCTAACCTTGGATCTTTCACTCTAACCTACCTCAGAAGATTGTTCTTAAGATAAAGTGTAACTTCATGTTGAATACCTTGGATACTGGAAGTGACTAGTGCAGAATTTAATTCATGGGTGTTCTTTTAAACTCTCCAAAGCAAAGGAAAAAGGCAAAGGAATTCTGTTTATTTCTGTTGCTGTCAAGCAAGTGGCAGTAGTTAATGAACAAGTATGTGTTAATCTTTAAAATTAATAGCAGTGATAATACCTCATTTTGAAGTTAATGAAATTTTAAAGCTTTTTTTTTTACTTCCGTGATTTGATGGAAACACATCCACAATTAAATACTTATGGGCTAATGCTTGTTCAAGCGCAACCACTGGAGTCACTGTTCTTGAGGAAGTGAGTTAAGAAACACATCTAATGAGACCCAAATGATTCAGTTCCTTTAGTGTATGGAATCTTAGAAGCAGATTAATCTGAGCATCTGAAGTAGCCGATAACGTCCTTAGCACTCCCCCCGCCCTGGGCCAGGACTGACTTTTCTGCAAGTGCACATATAATTGCTTTGCCACACACTTATGTAACAGACTGCCAATGGTATAGTACAAAAAGTGAATATACTAATGATCACTTACTAATGATTAGTTATTACACCCAGGCCCAAAGGTCGAAGTTCTCAAAAGCCTTCCAACACTGCCCACATGGTATGCCGTCAATCCTAGATGACCGAATAGTTCCCAGTGATTTACACTGTATCATTTCTGTGGTGGTGAAGCCTGAAACATTGCATGGCTCAGCTGGTATGATTGCATGGAATGTTCAGATGCCCCCAAAACTAAAGCAGTTTGCAGCCAGCTTCTGCACAGAAGGGAACACTGCCTGCGTGCCTTGAGATTTCAAGAAGGGAATGACCACGAACCTGGACTTGGACAAGCAAAAAAGATGGGTATCCCAGGGGTCGAAGGAAGGGTGCAGAACAATGCTCCCTCTAAGGTGCGGAGTCTGGTGAGCAAAAGTTCTCCTTTGTGAGCTACCAGCATGAAAGTTGTGAGTGAGCGGTTTGGCTACTGCATACATTGGTTTGCTCTGGAGCCCTCCTTCCTGAGCGGAGACAAATCTGTGAGCTGGAGGCTGAAGAACTGTGAGCTAGCTCACACGAACTCATCTTAGAGGGAACGCTGGTGCAGAATAGGCAATAGGCCGAGAAAAGGGAACCTAAAAGAAGGGGTTAATTTGACATTTAAGAAGAAGAGGCAGGAAGTATGGGAGCTAAGACAAAAAAGGAACTCATTGGAGAGAAGGCTCTATTCAAGCAAGGGAACCTTTACCTTTACCTTTTATATGCTGTCTAGTGGGGTGAGAAGTGCTAGGGAGACAGGTATGGCTAAAGGAAAGCTCTGTTTCTGTTTTCAACACAGAAAACCCAAATGCTTCTGGAAAGCAGACTTTTCTGTCACCTGAAATTTATCCCCAAGCATCTGGAATTCAGATGTGCTGCTTCTGTACATTAAAAGGGTTGTATCTAGCACAACAGCTATAAATCACAAAAGTGAAGTGAAAATACCCTTTTCCCTTAATTCTGTGACTCCTCCTTGCTTGCTTCCTCCTTCCATGAATGAAAGATTCTCCTATTTGTGAAAGGGCATGTTTGGATCCAACCTAGCGACTGAAGTGGTCTAAATCCTTTTTTAAAGCCACCCAAGCTCAGAGATACCACACGTTGTGATAGCACAGTACATAAAGACAAATTACACATCTGCTCAGCATAGTCCTGAACCCATGATCGAATGCCTCTCCATTTTGGAATATGAGAAATTAATTTTTGAACACAACTAGTTGGCACTATTTATCACCCAAAGATGGACTTTCCCTAACAGTACAGAACTTCCATAAGAAACAAAAGACATTAGGTTTTGTTTTCCACATGTTCAGAAGACAGGAATTGTTTTTCAAAAAACAAAAAAATAACTATGGCAAAACAACTACCTTGGGCCGGTCTTCCCTTTTTAGGACCACTGCTTCCAGTTTGGCTTCATATTCTGCTTGAACCTGATCTCTTTTCTTCAGGACATTCTAAAACGGAAAGAGAATAAGCAAGCTGTAATTAAAAGGATGGCAAGAGTCACATCTATTCTAGGTCTTTTCACTACCTAAGTTACAAATTAGCTGCAACATTGGTTTCGTTCAGTTTTGAGTTTATCACTTCTTAAGTAGCCATGCTTTTGAAACTAAGTTGAAATCAGTGCTGCAGGTTGGGGGAGAACAAGGCCAGGAGAGAAAAGAGAAAGATTTCTTCTTCTTGTACTACGCAATGAGTTCTTGTGTTCAAGTAGAATAAAAAAACACAAAAAACTGCATCCAACAGTCAGTCAATAAATGCTCATACCGTAATTCCAACCAAATGCCTGAAAAATAAGGAAGTCTTCATTCAGCACCTGAAGCTCAAATGGGTCAGCACCAGGCAAATGTCTACATGGAAGAAATTCAATACACAATGTACCAATGTTGAAAGAAAACAGAGCAGGAATCCCAGTGATTCTTAACAACGGGAAAAGTTCATATGGGAGAGGGCAGGACTTTACCGGACTTTGTGAGATACCATCAAGATAGATTGAAGGGAACAACCATCATTCCCTGCTCTCTCTTCCAGGCAGTCAATTTCAACTACTGCTTCATGTGAAATTAGCACAGAGTAGCTCAACATGTGGATCTCGGAACCTATGGAGCATCAAGGTCAACTTGAGATGATCTCTGAAGGAGCCATCCACTAAACCATGCGACAATCACCTCCAGACTTGACTACTGTAGCTCACTCTACACAGGGCTACCCTTGAGACTGACCCGGAAACTACAGCTGGTCCAGAATGCAGCGGTGAGAGTTCTCACTGGAGCTCCACTTAGAGCACATATCCAGCCAGTGCTTCACCAGCTGCACTGGCTCCAGACTGAATTCCAGATAAAGTTCAAGGTGTTGGTTTTAATTTTTAAAGCCCTGCATGGTCTGGGACCAACATACCTTTGGGACTGCCTCTCCCAGTATATCCCCCCCCCCAAGAGCATTACAGTCACAGGATAAAGATCTCCTAGTGGTCCCTGGACCAAGAAACATCCGATTAGCCTCGACCAGAGCCAGAGCCTTTTCACCCCTGGCCCAATGGAACACTCTTCCAGCTGAGATCCAGGCCCTGAGGGATCTTTTACAATTCTACAGGGCCCGCTAAACAGAGCTATTCCACTAGGCCTACGGCCGAGGCTCATGACTGAGAAGAAAAACTCCATCTGATGGGCCCCGTCCAGCTTCTTTTTGTGGACCTTGCCCTAGTTTTCAATGTGGTTAAATTCTCTGAGCCGATACTACATTGTTACGTCATCTGTCTGTTGTTGATTGATGTTTAACTTGTTTTAAATTTATTTCTCATTGTTTTATAAGTATGTTGTTACTCACCCTGAGGCCTGCAGTAGCAGGAGAGGGCAAGTCAGAAATCGATTTATGTGAACAAACAAATAATAAAAACCCTGTGACAACACACACAATGGATCACTGTCTCCTACACAGTATTTGAGCAGAATCTCAGCTACGAAGGCTAGACAGAGCAGGCATTCTAGGAGGCTTGAACAGGAGGAATGTTCTTCCATTTTCTGAGGGACAGCTGCGACACTCCGAGCCTGCAGAGTGGGCCCTTACCACTCAGTGCCAGTCCACTGCTAAGCGAAAGACATGATCCTCTTTGCATTTCGGATGAGACACAGAGGCCTAATAGAGTGCGGGTCAGTGGTCTGACAACTCAAGACCAATGTTCCCTCTAAGCTGCGTAGTCTTGTGAGCAAAAATTCTATTTTGTGAGCTGCTGGCATTAAAGCTGTGAGGGAGCGATTTGGCCGCTGCATAAATCAGTTTCCTCTGGAGCCGTCTTTCCTGAGCTAAGACAAAAAATTGTGAGCCGGAGGCTAAAAAACTGTGAGCTGGCTCACACTAACTCGGCTTAGGGGGAACACTGCTCAAGACCATCACTCAGCTATCAAGTTAATCAGATTGGCAGCCTTGGAGCACAGTCACTATCTCGCCAGACTAGTCTAATTCCCACAAAGGGGAATGGAATACAAACATAAAAACTATACCTTGATATAATATGTCAATGCACTGAACACAGCTGAAACCCTAACCATGACCCTTCACAGGGCTTTTGACCATCCAGCAAGTCTCAGCTATGGCCCCTAAGCAACAGTTTCGTGGCTCCATAAGATGCCCATACACAAGCAGCACAGAAAACAGAATCATAGAACCATAGAGTTGGGAGGGGCCATACAGGCCATCTAGTCCAACCCCCTGCCCAATGCAGGACCAGCCTAAAGCATCTCTGACAAATATTCGCCCAGCCTCTTCTTGAAAGCTGCCAGTGAAGGGGAGCGAACCACCTCCCTAGGCAGCTGATTCCACCTTTAAACCACTCTGACCATGAAAACGTTTTTCCTAATATCCTAATTTCCTAAATACTATTATGTCTTACTTTCGAAAGCAGACTATCACATTGAATCAAATTGTTCTTCATATAAACACATGTTAAGTGCATTTCTCTCTCAGGATTCAAAGTAATTTTAACTGGTTGCAGATTGCTCTTTGCTCAGCTGTCTGGCAGTTCCGAGATACAGAAAGGGAAGCTCTAGTAAGAATTGGATCAGGTGTAGATGTAGCCCAATCAACTGCACCAAAAGCAGTACCTATTTGGAGCTGGACAAAACTATTTGGCATGTGCACGGGACATTCTTCAACAACAGGAAGCAAAGCATGGACCACCATAGAAATACTTTAACAACATAAGAAGTGTATGGTGCAACAGTAGTTAGATCATATTCTGCCAAGTACTGGGGTGGGATATCTGCAAATTCTGCCATAATACTCCACGAAGTTGATTTCGAGATGACTGCTGAAAGAGCTGCAATTTAACATTGAGGGATTTCAGCTGGCCCCTAGCATTGTATTTTGTTGTCTGATTAACACACAGAACTTGATCATTTGGTCTAAAAGACATCCACACACCACAGTAGCGATGTGGCATTTCGCCTGTAGCTATTAGAACTTAAGGGCCCGTGCTTCAAGTTTTACAGGTATTTCTACTTAGGTACAAGCATCTCATGAGTTCACAAACAAGCTGACCTTTGCTAATAAAATGGCCCACAGAATGCTAAAGCGTATTAACAGAGAACAATCATTAACAGACAAGTTACACTAGAAAGAACACACCCCAAGTCTGGAAGAAGCCAAAAAAATTTCTACCAGAAGGGGGAGGCAAGAGAGTAAGTTGTCCCAGCTTTAAGAGAGGCAGGCACTGTGGCTCAACATGTTAGTTCAACATCATCAGCATGCAGTCAGTATGCAGGAAAGTTCTTTTGACAATGCTGCCTCTCTGTGTAATCCCATCCAATGCAATACATTTCTGTCTTTGGTTGTGTAAGCTAAGGAATCAATAGGCACAAAAGGAAGAGGCAACGCACTCAGTTGAGACCAGCAGTCTTCAAGTGAACAAGACACACAAAAAGGGTAAGTTGGGTGATTTACAGGTTCTTTGTTTCTGCTGGTCTCTGACCAAAAACATTTTGGCTATTCTTTATAGTAAAGGAAAGGAGAAGGAAATTAATCATAAAATCTACTATATTAACTCTGCTACTTGAAATATGGTTTTGAGCTCAAAGGGTAGGTAGCAACAACCATAGTCAGAAGGCCTGTGACCCACAGACATAAGCCCAAGACTTTCTACAAAACTGAAACCAAGATTATATACTATGTGTTGCACATCAAGAGTTGTGTATGCAGTTTCAAAGAGCGAATACTGCCAAGATCAAGAACTTTATAAAAAGCCACACACAAAATTCACTCAAGAGGCAGAAGACGTCTGCGTGCGTATATTGTGCCTGCATGAAAACCCTTCAACATACTTTAGGCTGTGCCAGCATGAAAAATGTATATAAATATTTAAAGCTAACTCCATTTGCCTAATATCTAAATGCTGTGCTGGGGCTTGAACTAATTGTAAGCAATATATTCTTTGCCATCAACACTTTTTTTTCCCATGCCAGTCCAAATGGAAATTATGTATAAGAGGCATTCTTGTCTTTCCACAACTTATATAAAACGGGTCAATTAGAACAGTTAGATTCCATGGGGGGTCTGGGACTACCAAACTTGGAAAATTATTATTTAGCAACCCAACTAAAAAATATTTTGGATTATGCACATATAGCCCCAAATAAACCTTGGGTTTTGATGGAGCAAGCTCAAATTGTAAAAGACAACTTATATGAGATTATATGGCATAGTATACCTGAAATAAACCAGCTAAAAATAACAAATCCTTATTTGAAATTTACTTTAGACCTATGAATGAAATGTCATCCAACTTTAGCACCAGGACTATCTCCAATGACTGTTTTTTTAAATCAATCCTGGTTCCCCCCAGCTAAAGATACTTCTATGTTTAATACCTGGAAAGAAAAAGGTATGATTAGATTAGGAGACCTTTGTGCACAAACTCAACTTCTTACTAAAGACCAGCTTGAATCTAAAGGTAATTTTAAAATCTCTTGGCTACAGTATATGCAACTCCGACATATAAATAGAATACAGGCTTTAGATAGACCTTTGACTTCATTTGAAACTTTTATTAAAAATAAATCTTTTTCTTGCAGAGGTTCAATCTCTATGATTTACCAATTATTAAGTAAACAATCCTGGGGAAAAACTATCTTCAACCCAGCAATCATGGCATAAAGACTGTGGAACACTGGGAATTATCTCATTGGCAAGATATTTGGTCCTCAGCTGTTTTTTTCTACTTGTATGTTAAATATTAGTCTACAGAACTTTAAGTTATATGCTAAGTGGTATATGACCCCTTTGCGTCTTTCACATATACACCCCTCTGCATCGCCATATTGTTGGAAAGCATGTGGTGAGGTAGGCTCTTTTAGACACTGTTGGTGGGATTGTCCCATTATTGCATCCTTTTGGTCAAAGATACTGGATTTAACTAATAAAATATTGCAATGCACACTTCCTAGAACACCGGAATCGGTTCTTTTACTTTATTGGCCTACCCCTCGGCTTACAAAGCTGAAGTCTGAATTAGTGGCATTATTCATGACAGCAGCAAAAACCTTAATAGCACAGTTATGGAAAACCAATAAGGCCCTATCCATTAAACAATGGTTTATGACTTTGGGACATAGCTGTAATGGATAAATTGGCATCACAGATTGTAATGACTGAAACGGCCTCTAAAAAGAATATTTTTTTGGAAAAATTGTTTCCCTTTTTTGAATTCATCAATGACCCAAAAAACAAAAGCTGGAGCCTACCCCACAAATATACTTGATTTTGCCTTTTATTAAAAATGGAAAATAAAAATGTATTTATGATTTATCTTTATTAAGAAAAAGCATATAGTGTACGATTTTTGTATAATGGTATGATATAATATCGTAGAAATTGTTTTATTTTTTGTTGATGTTAAAAGTTAAAATTTAATAAAAATGTATGCAAAAAAAAAAAGAGAACAGTTAGATTCCAGTCCAGTCGTACCTTTTGAGCGCAACAAAATTTTCAGGGTAGGAGCTTTCGAGAGTCACGACTTCTTCCATCAGATAAGGAGCTTTAAGTCTAAAGACCATACCCTGAGAATATTGTTGGCCTCTAAGGTGCCACTAGACTTGAACCAAGCTGTCCTATTGCCAACCAACAAAGCTACCCCCTGGAACTTTCTTCTGGGCAAACTGAAGAGAGAGGCACGAGACCCTCAGAGAGCCAGAATCCTCAACAGTGAAGCCCAGCTAAAGTTAAAAAGTAGTTAAAAGAACATTAAACAGATTAAAGGCAAGAGCTTACACAAAAGCTTACAGAGAAGCCTTGTCTCCACAGCTAACTTTATACCTAAAAGTAACATGTCATGTGTATTAAATATGGCAGACAGCGACAGGTACCACTCAGCCTCAGAGTACGGATACGAAGAGTACAGCCTTGCCATCTGGGATCCTATGACAATCCTACTCACAAACATGTTCGGAAGATTAGAATTCTAAAATGCTTTTACATGTTGAACACACTTGAATTCCCACATACTTACAAGCCGACCTATGAAGCCATAAATTCTAGAACATAGTCGAACTTACTAAGCCTGCAAACACCTTTGGAATTCTGATAAAAGAGGCAAAGCCAGCCACAAAATGTCAAGGAGCGAGGTGATACATAACTCTAATAGAAGCTCTGCGTAATAGGATATTTTAAAATAAACACTGAAAGTATTTTCCCACTTGAACACCGCTTACCTTACATCACCTAATGAAGATCCTCATGCTTTAGTGGCAGCTACTACCAAGGCATTTTTTAACCTGCATAGTGTTACGCCAACTGCTTTATCTACAGCAGAGGCTAACTAAATTTAACGTGAGTCCTGGCCAGCTATACCAAGGTCGTGTCTGAACCCAGAGTTCCAGTAATGGAGACCACACGGGTGTTTTTCCAAAACAAATAATCTTTTTACTGAAGGATATCAAAGCCACATACACACAAAAAACATCAGTCTCACTTCGCATACGTTCAAGTTTCCTTTAGTTACAGAAATAGAAATAAAATAGTTTCTCAATTACTTGGAGTTAGGTAGGTAGCTATTTCGGTTTATACTTGCCTGTTCCAAAAGTCTTGTCTGTTGCAATGGAAATGGGGGTAGAAAGTGATACCTAGGGGTTTAAGCTAAATCACACCTGCTAGAACCAGCTAAGCAAGCATGGACCTCTTTGGCTACAGTTCCAAGAGATCTTAAAGTAGACAAAGGGATTGTTGGATAGAAAGCTGGACCTTAGGGGTAGTAAAGAAGATAGAGGTCGTGGAGAGGGAAGATGGCTAGCAAAGACCTAGGGTTTGGGTCTTTACTTTTATAGTTGAATCTCCAGGTGGGTGGCACCTTGCCAAACTGTAATCCCACCTACTTACAAGTCCATCCCATAGCTTCCCTCATTGGTGCATGTGGAAAGGGGCAGGTATTCTATGGGTTGGGCCAATATTTGAAATACTACACTCTATCTCATGGAATACCATCTGGCTAGGTGTGAAGTCTTGGCTTCCTGCACCCTCTTTGAAGTGCAGATGAATCTTGGCTTTCCCAGGCCTACAAGGTACCATCAACAGGAAACGGCAATTCAGATGCATATCAGGTCCGTGTCCTGCCTGACAGCCAGTCTCTTCAGTAATGGTGGAATTTCTCCTTCTTGGTTGTTGCCTCTGCTCACAATGGCTAACATGTGCTTCTTCTTCCCATAATGCCTTGAGCTGAATGTGTGCAAGCTACATTAACATAAAATGCAGGCAAGTGTTCCCTATGTGAATTCTCTCACAGTAGGTGATGCAAACAGCTTCCTTTGGCCCATGGTATACAGATGTGTGCACAGTCCATGTGTTGCATGTGTACCAGATATAAAACCATAAATTAGTCAATTTCTCAACAATTGCCAATCAGATCTCCAGTGGCCAATCAGAAGCAATCCTGGGCACAAGCCCCACCCACATTTGAAAAACACTTGGAAAGCGTCATGAAAGTTGTCAGCGGGTACCATGTCTAGAAACTTTTTTTTTTTAAGCCACAATCCTCAGGAAACCTACCAGGCTTCTCATGTGGAGATGTGGGGAATCTAACCCGATTCTCCAGATAGAGTCCACTGCTCTAACCACTACACCATGCGGGGTTGACATGAAGGACTTATTGTCAGTTTCTGCCAGGGCATACCCACATGGCAACTGCTCTTGACTGGCGCATGAGCTTGAACCTGCTGTTGTATACTCAGCTCCCATTCATCTACAGGTGATTAGTGTCAGGAGCTCTGAATTGAACTGGAAAGGAGATTTAAAATACATAAATAAATCAAAGCTCCCCAACATTTTACACACATGGTTGTGGGAAAGTTGACAGATCCATCCTTACATAAGGACCCATGGTACATCATTCAATTGCGATTTCAGACCGTAGCTTACAGAGATCCCTATCACACTTAACCACAATGAAAGACAGGGTCATCCACATTAAAAAGGATATGAAGCTGCTCCAAGAAGCACATGTTCCCAAGGATAACTCCTAATTTGCTGACCAAATTAGCAGCAATATGGTATTATCTCTCCACTGGCCCCAAGAATCTGAATCCTGAATTCTCGGGGGGGGGGGGGGGAGAGGAGAGACAGGCAACTTCAGGAGAACACAAGCTGCACAGGAATTCTCAGGGAAGTCACAATGGTTACATATGCCTCAGATTTAAATGCTAGATGGAACAAAAGCTATTTTAAACAGGGATTAATCCAATCCTTAAACCACTTGAAGGCAAAGAACACTAACAGAACTTTAAAATGAACACTGTTTGAACACATACATAATTGCTTTCCACACATAAAAACCCACCTTACCTTCATGGACTCAGCATATAGAATGTACTCTCTGAGAACGGGTAGGAAATCCTCAGTCATATCTTCACTCAGTTCCTCGAGAGCTGTACAGCAGTTCCCAATGCAGGCAGACACCCCCTCCAGAGGTTCAGACAATTCTCTTTCTAACCCACTCCAGGTTGAGTAAACTGGCCCATATTCTCGAAGTTCCACCAGATATTCTACGAGAGAGCCGTACATAAGAGGAACCAAAGTCAAGTTCTAGTTTCTGGGTTTCGAGGTGGCACCACAAGTGCTGAAGCCGAACGCTCCAGCAAGACAGTTGTTACGTTTGACAAGATCTCACCCAAGAAAAGAAGCACTCCGGACCAGTGTTCCCCCTAAGCTGAGTTAGTGTGAGCTAGCTCACAGTTTTTTAGCCTCTGGCTCACACATTTTTGTCTCAGCTCAGGAAGGAGGGCTCCAGAGCAAACTAATTTATGCAGTAGCCAAATTGCTTGCTCACAACTTTAAAGCCAGTAGCCCACAAAGTAGAAGTTTTGCTCACAAGACTCCACAGCTTAGAGGGAGCATTGCTCGGGACCAAGAACTTATGGGGAAATTAGAGTTGTAGAATGCTTGCCACAAGGGATAAAGGATGCAATCTACATTGAGAAGGAACTGTTAACTCAGTTGCTAGCCCCATATGCTGTATGCACCAGGTTCAACATACTGGCATCTCCTATTAAAGTATTTCAGATAGGGCTTAGAAACCTTGGAAAGTCACTGTCAGCCAAGTAGACTAGACAGACTAACGTTCTCTATACAAGGCAGCTTCCTATCTTCAGTCATTTGTTAATGTATTTAATTGAATAATATTTTAACTGTGTTTTAATTGTTTAAACGTTTTATTGTTCTTATGATCGCGGCTCTGTGGACCCCGATTAGGTGGAAAGGTGGCATAAAAATGTTTTAAATAAACCAATAAAGCTGAATAAACTCACAATATAGATCATGAAGCATAAGCAGCAGCTACAGCATGGAGTATTTTTGCCAGTCTGCAACACAATAGAACAACTCCCCGCACAGGGAATTCTCTCAAAAGGGGTACTTGTATTTTTTTTAAAAACACCCTTTCAATTTATGATCAAATATTCAAAGGGAAAGTTAGCATTTAGCTGGTTTCAGCAAAGAGGCTTGTAGAACCTTAGAAAAAGGAACAAGTTTATTTCAACAAGGCTTTGTAGACCTGTCAGAAGCTTTTGTGACCTAACGCCCACTTTGTGGATACACCACAATAAAACTTAAATTGTGTTGAAAGGTTCTTTGCTTTGCAAGAACAGACTACTTGGGAGTCTGCATATATATACCGATCTCTTTCCCCGAAAGTGTCTAAGGAACACAAAGTTCAAAGTGTGAGTCCAGTGGCACTTGTAAAACCAACAAAATCTAACTCTGTGTTTAAGCTTTCGTGTGCATGCACATGGAACCTTATACACAGAATTAAACTTTGATGGTCTTAAAGGTGCCATTGGACTCAAACTTTGTTCTATTGCTTCAGACCAACAGGGCTACCCCCACCTGAATCTACAAAGTTAGTCCTTGATACAGCAGGTAACTTCCACACTGAAGCATAAGGGTTCTAATTCCCTTCCCTACATTCTTCTCCATTTGAGTATCTTTGAATGTATAGTTTTAAATTTTCGCTTTGGTATTTTAGATGTATGCTTGGTCATATGAACGGAAATAAACTAAAGGCAAAGGCATTTGAGTACTGAAGCAAACCCTCTCAAAGCAATAGAGAACGCTGGAGGCGGAACGTGCTGTCACGGCACACCTGACCTATGGTGACCCCGTAGGGTTTTCAAGGCGAAAGACCTTCAGAAGTGGTTTGCCATTGCCTGCCTCCGTGTCATGACCCTGGCATTCCTTGGAGGTCTCCCATCCAAATTCTAGCCAAGGCTGACCCTGCTTAGCTTCCAAGATCTGACAGGATAGGGGAAGAATTCGAAGCCAGTAAACAGCGAGGGAACCTTCCCACAAGCAGCGGTACCCCCAGCAAACAGCACAAAGTTATAAACCAATGGGGCTGAATATAGATGGGTCCAATGCTCCCTCTAAGCTATGGGGTCTTGTGAATAAAAATCCTACTTTGTCAGCTACTGGCATTCAAGTTGTGAGCGAGCGATTTGGCTACTGCATAAATTAGTTTGCTCTGGAGCCCTCCTTCCTGGGCTAAGACAAAAATGTGTGAGCCGGAGGCTAAAGGACTGTGAGCTAGCCCACACTAACTCAGCTTAGGGGGAACACTGGATGGGTCATGGTTACAAGGCAGAATCAGGAGCACTACTCACCCACTTCTTCCTTGATGATCCGCTGTGCTATTCTATCAATGGTTCCAAGCTTCATAGAAAACGTATCTAAATAGTCTCCAATGGCTGCAAACTCCAACGGTCGACTTCTTAGTTTATAGCTTCCTGTGACGTATTTGACTGACTCTCCCATCTTGGAAAGCAAAGCCATCCCCTGCTTTTTGTAAGCATTAAGATCCTGATAATGATGACAAAGCAGTTACTTGGTTTCCCACTACTTACAAGTTAAATTTATCTCAAGAAGATCTTTAACCACCATTCTAAAGCAACTGTCAGAAAGTTCATAAGTAGTCAGATGAAAGCAATGTAGGTAGTTGGCTGTTGCTTCACTGTCATGTCAAACTGAAGAGGAGATAAAGTTTTTGGCATTCTTTCAAGTTTAAATTATCTTCCTGCTGTTTGAACAAGGCACAGAGTTTCTTATATCACATAACTACAGCTTAAGAGTTCTCTTTGTAAAGCCAATTAAATTTTTTTGTGTGCATATAATTTATTGGTTAATTTCAGAATAATTTGTCATTCACTGCTTTCTACAGTAAATGTGTACTTGAGAGGCTATAGCTCCACAGCTACACCTCTCCATGACGTTACCATGTAAGGCTCCCAGCAACAATACTACTTGAAGCTTACATTGCTACCATGAATGCAGAGGCATTTGCCTTGGCAATGGAGTTTCTTCACAATAGTTTTCCCTGCACTTTCCTTGCTTCAGCCTACCTCAGCAGCCATTTTCCCTTGCACAATCAAAAGGTGTTTAAAAAAAAAAGTAGTTGACAGATTGCTATAGCACAACAATTATTGATTTATTTATAATTTGAATTTATAAACCACCCTCCCCTGAGTACACAGGGCTCAGGGTGGTAAACAACAAAAAGTAAAACCATTCATAAATAATAAAACAGCTTAAATAGTACAGAGGTAATAAATATAACATAATGATATATTGACATGATTTAGTGTTGTTGTTTTTTAAAAGTCCCTGGCCTTTCCACATGGAGTTATAAAGGGAAATATTAAGACTGGTAACCCTTACTTATTAAACACTGGAAAATTCTAACTAATTCTGTTTTCTAGTAAAACACAAGGCTATTTTTGGGCAGGAACGCACCGGAACGGAGTTCCAGCTGGCTCCCGAGTTGGCCACGCCCAGCAGGAACTCATTAGCATAATAGGCCACACCCAACAGCAGAAACTCATTAGGATTGGCTACATTAGGGGTGTGTGGCCTAACATGCAAAGGAGTTCCTGCTACAAAAAAGGCCCTGGGTTTTGACAACAAACAAGGTTAACAGAATAAGAAGCAAAAGGTGGGTGTGGCTGGATGACCACACCTCTGGTAACATGGGGTTGCGGCCTAATGTGCTAATGAGCTGTGCTGTCATGGGTGTGGCCTAATATGCTAATGAGTTTCTGTGGTTGGGTGTGGCCTATTATGCTAATGAGTTCCTGCTGGGCTTTTTCTACAAAAAGAGCCCTGGTAAAACAGACTGTTTTAGAACAGCACAGGCCACCTCTTTAGGGATTCTCTCATCATTTATTTTATTTACTTGATTTACACACACACACACACACACATCCCACTTCACTCCTCAGTAGGGACACATCCCTGGTTACATTTTTGCCCCTCCTCTTTTACATCCCCAGAAAAGCTCTGAAGTATGCTAGGCTGAGCGTGTGTGACTGAGCCCAAGGTCACTCAGAAAGCGTCTATGGTAGGGTACCCCAGATCCTAGTCCCAGCACTGTAACCACTACGCTTGCTCATTCTGAACATTTTTCTTCCTAAAAATGTTGAGTACCTCCATGCCTAAATAGGTCCCCTGAAAAACCTGCCTCAATGCGTCTCACTTACTTTGGCAGTCAGGAACACATGGAAGTGTTCATTGAACGAAAGCACCGGATGATCAGCAATCCTTTTCAAAAATTTATCTAAGGCCTTCCTCCTCGTTTCAACAAATTCTTCTGAAAAGCGGTCAACAACTCCTTTAACCACAAACTTCTCTGGAAGAGGCTGAAGGGAACGAGTCACAAGATGGTTCAGTGTGTGTGTTTGTATCTGGAGCACAGACCAATAGCAACACTTGCATCAGATCCGAAGGTGAGAGCAAAGAGCCTGCTTATGTAATAATGGAGTGAGCAAACGAAAACACATCATTCACACCATGGCCTTTACTTCTCATTTGGAGCCGAATTACAATTTGAAGAATAATTTCTACTATATCTATGCTGTTGCATCTGAAACCAAATCCACATGCATAACTTTACTCATGCAGAAAGACTTGTTTAATTTCTATCTCAAACGGAGAAGGGGCTGAAACGGAGGAGAGAAACACCATCTACTTTAACTGACAGCAGTTCTAGAATGTCTCAGCTCATGGTACCTTCTCAGGCCTGCTACCTGAAATACTTTGAACCTGTAACTTCTAGGTATGAATGAAAAATCACATGCGATATGATCAGTTTTTGATCAGGCACCCAACAATCGGCAACTACAATCACTGATTCCAGCCTGCAAATCAGAACTTCCAGAATGAGCATTCCAAAGAACAGAAGGCTGAACCTGTTCTTTAAAAAAAAAAAAAAATTCTTATTTATTTACAATTTTAACAGTTCTAACATTTCAAACAGTGAATAATTAATCTTCCAATTACATTCACATCCTGTAAATAGTTCCTGAGTATGTACAACGTTATAACATGTTCAAAGAATTACAATACACTACTCATCATACTTCCGAATCTATGTTTTCAGTATAGAGATAACAGACTTGGCATAAGCTTAATAGAAACATTAGGAAGCAATCTGAACTATTAGAGCGGTAAGGAAGAGAAGAAAGAAAAGGAAACTTCTTTTATCAACGTACAATAACAATTACTACATACCATTTGACCATTTAGAAGATTTGATGTGAAATATTAGAGCTAGTGGATAAGAAAGAAGTAAGTAAGTATGAGATTTTGTGGAACTAGTCATTCCGTTAATCTTATATCCATTTGTGGTATTGAGACCATTCAGATGAGATAAATTGTTTTTGAGACAGATAATCCAGGAGACATCCCTGGTTTCTAGACCCCCTCCCTAAGTCTTTAAACAAAATTTGGGTGCTAAAATAGCAACATCTGCTCATGAATGGGGAAAAAATGCTGGGTGGCAGTTTAGGTTGCTTTAGCAATCAAGAGTGGCACTTGACAATGAAAAGAGGCAAATGGGGAGGGATGGAAGAAAAAGAGGGGACAAAAACTGTAAGGATTGTGGACAAAGGAGGCAACCAGAGTCCATTTGAACTAGATATATAAGAATGGAGGAGGGAGAAGACTGGCAGGATGATGCAGAGAGAGGATGGCCAACTGGAGGCATTGGATTCTGCCCGTCCCCCTTAACACACTTGCAGGTCCCCTTTTTGTAAGTCTGTTTTTTACTGAAGATTTCTCAATAGTGGGGAAGGGAAAATAACCTCAAGGTAAGTTTTATTCCATTATCTGGTAAACACTCTTTTTTTGTGTGTTCTTTCCGGCCCCCATTTTAATATATATTTGGCTAATTATACAACAACCATCAAGTTTGGAGAAGAAGTCACAACTGAAGCTTCCCTTCACTATTTCAATGAAAAAGAATAACTTAATCTGTGACCTCCTTTCCTAGCACCACAATTTAACACACACGCTTATCTGGCCATCGTATTTAGTAGTTTGTCTTTGTATTGGGAAGTTACAGGGCTTAGCACAGAAACCCCCAGTCGATTTGAAAATCTGACAAGAATCTTTGCTTCAAAAGAGAAGCTTATGAACATTCTCCAAGTGTTTGAAGAAAATTAAAGAGTTTTTGTTAATCTCTAGAAGATTTCTTTTTCCACTGATAGGATTTTTAAGCTGTGCCAAATCCAGGTGCATTTCAAGCACGATTGTGGGTTTTCTGAGCTTTGGTATTAGGAAGATGCAGGGCAATGCTGCCTTTGCCCACCCACAACTCACTGGGTAAAGAACTGCACCACAGCAGTCTGTACATGCACCTCCCTTCTCTATACCCATAGGGATGCTCCTTTTTAAACATACGAACATAAGAGACGCCAATGATGGATCAGGCCAAAGGCCCATCCAGTCCAACACTCTGTGTCACACAGAGGCCAGAAATACCAGTGCCATCAGGAGGTCCACCAGTGGGGCCAGGACATTAGAAGCCCTCCCACTGTTGAACCCCCCCCCCAAGCACCAAGATGACAGAGCATCACTTGCCCCAGAGTCCCTATCTATACCTTGTGGCTAATAGCCACTGATGGACCTCTGCTCCATATGCTTATCTAATTCCCTAATTCGTCCATGCTTGTAGCCGCCACCACTTCCTGTGGCAGTGAATTCCAAGTGTTAATCACTCTTTGGGTGAAGAAGTACTTCCTTTTATCCGTTCTAACCCAACCGCTCAGCAATTTCATGGAGTGCCCACGAGCTCTTGTATTGTGAGAAAGGGAGAAAAGTACCTCTATCTCTACCTGCTCTTTCCCATGCATAACCTTATAAACCTCGATCATGTCACCCCTCAGTCGTCGTTTCTCCAAGCTAAAGAGCCCTAAGCGCTTTAACCTTTCCTCATAGGGAAAGTGTTCCAACCCTTTTATCATTCAAGTTGCCCTTTTCTGCACTTTTTCCAAAGCTATAAAATCCTTTTTAAGGTGTGGTGACCAGAACTGCACACAGTATTCCAAATGAGATCGCACCATTGATTTATATAGGGGCATTATGATATTGGCTGATCTGTTTTCAATACCCTTCCTAATAATCCCCAGCATAGCATTGGCCTTCTTTATTGCAGTCACACACTGTCTCGACATTTTCAGTGAGTTATCTACTACACGCTCTCCCAGATTTTATACACCAGCTCCATGTCATGGTCCATTCAGGAAAGGCATGGAAACATTTGTTTTTACCAGGCCTTCGAGCCATTGGAGCCCACTGACAGACTTATTTACACATTGTTATATGAAACCACATTGTAAACGTGCCGAGTGAAAATGCCATTACATGCAGAAGGTACTTGGCAGCTGACATTCAATTAACACATTTGAATTTTATAACAGCTGTCTCAGGTAGGCGCTCTTCTCCTGTATTTGGAACAGTGCCACTCAGATTATTATGCTGTTTACAGTCTCACATGGCTGGTAGTTTATCTTTTATTGTACACCACTAGAGCACTGTGTCAGGTGGTGACATTTACATCTAATCAAACCTAAGTCTGCCATCGTATCTTGAGTAGCTGGATTGGTAAGCCACAGTTGCCGAACACAGGCATACCCAGAAACTGGCCATTAAAGGAGCTGGCCATTCATTCAAATGGACATGAATTCAGGCTTACTACAACCCATGGCTTCTTAGGACTTCACTACCCCCTTAAGATTGTTGGGTGAGATTTCTATAGTGACAGGGTTGTTGGAGGCAGCAGTACAACTGGATTCCAGTAAGATCAGACTAGCACCAACCCACCAAATAGCTAAGACACCAAGACTATGGAATTCTCTAGGCAAGCACTTTTTAAAGTAAAAGGGTGTTTGATAATTGGAGACCATGACTTACTACCTACGGGAATGAGATGAGTTGGCTGAGATTCCTCGAGTTTATTCCTCAGCCAATCAAAATCCTGATATCTTCTGCGCATGGAATACTCTGGCAAATCAAATTCTGCTCGTGTGGTCTAAAAATGAAGAGAAAGAAGAAAGAAAGGGGGAAATTATTCAGGGTTAGATGAGACATCTCAGCTTCTGAAATACATTGCAGGGATTGTCTTCTTTGCTTGCTTACAGCAGTACTACAAGCTAAGGCATCCAAGCAACAGCAGAAATGAAAGGGGGGGGGAATCAATGTATTTTCTGGCAACATTATACAGCCTGAGAATTGTCTCAGTATTGTAACTGTAAAAGCATTCGATTAAAAGTTCTGCTTTCAGTTGTTTGAATGGAATACCTTTCCTTGAGGAAGAAAAAGGGAAAGAACCTAAAATAAAAGTTATGCCTAGAGATATATTTATATCTTCAAAGACTGGGCTATCATTTTGGACAGGCTTAAGGGAGACACTGCTTGACCAATACCACTTCAGCTGTTTCCGTGCAGAGGTTTCTTTCTGTCTTGGCTTCTAAACTGTAAAAAAAAGGCGGGAAGCCTCCAGCATACACTGATCTCTTTCCCAAACTTGCTTTTCTCATTTCTTTTTTGAAAAAACACAGTCTAGGTAAGTTGTGTGGAAGGAATGGCAAGTACTTTCCTGTTGAAAAGGTCCCACCCATTTCAGCACCATTTTTCCGGCTACCAACCTATTGCGGTTGCCACTCTCACCAATATTTTTTAAAAAGGTAATTGCTATTTTGCCACAGTGATATACTGATATTTACCGATTTCCATTTCAAATTTTAGATTCTCTGAACTCAGTTCTCATTTTTTGAGGGGAAAGTAGTCTACAGCCCTTTTGTAGTGGAGACGTGAGACGAAAGGTAGAGACAATTTTTGTGCTAATTACCTGGAAATGTACAAAGAAGGGAAGCTGGCAAGATGATTATATGTCAACACTACACTATAAAGAGCTATTCTTACTTAACTATTTCAAGTTTAAATAGATCCACTCTATGAAGAGCAAAAAGGTCCTGGAGTCTCCACAGCAGCCATAATGACAACGCCCCCAAGAACCAAAGTGGATTCACTACAGCCCACGTGTAGAAGGAGAAAGCACAGAGTACACCCATGTGTGGGAGCCACAATACCAGCACATATGCGTCTACATTTGCAGCTGCAATAAAAACAACCTGAAGAATCCTTGCCATTTGGAAGCAGTTTTAGAAATGCCAGTATTGGATTTTAGACTCCGCTGTGACAACTGGTGCACTAAACCCCTCTTTCTCACCCTAGTCTTATTCTAAGAATTTTGCTAAGCTGACCTCTGTTGTCTGACTTGGAGCTTGTATGTAGAGGCCTGGGGGCACTGAGAAAAAGCAACTTCCCACAATGGACTACCATTACAGTAGCCACAATCCTACACCAACCGTTAAAGCAAGCTGGGGAGTATCGATTTGCTCCGAGGTCCTTGAAAGAAGGGCAGTGTGTTTGTGGTCCCCATTTTATCCTCAAAGCAATCCTTTAAAGTAGGTTAAGGAGAGTAGGGGTGAGTGGCCCAAGGACAACCATCAAACTTCAAAAGCAAAATGGGTATTTGAACCCAGGTGTGAGGCAAAGCTCTGCTGGCCTCCCCTCAAGGGTTTATTGTGAATAATAACGGGCCCAGTTCATTCTGCAGGTGTTACTCATTGGTTCCTCAGCCTATACAGTCCTTAAAATCTTCAAAACCGGAGATGAAAGTGGTGTGATTAGCTTCTCATGAAAACCTGCTACCCTAATTTTCCTCTTAGCTAGGTCATGTGTATTGTGTGCGTTTTGTATGTATGTTTTGCTCTTTTGGAGCTGCGGTGGCTCAAGTGGTTAAGACGCTGAACTGCAGGCTGTGGAAGGTCAGTAGTTCAGCAGTTCGAGACCTGGGTGCCACATGACGGAGTGAGCTCCCGTCTCTAGTTCCAGCTTCTGCCAACCTAGCAGTTCGAAAGCAAGAAATTGCAAGTAGATAAATAGGTACCACTTCGGTGGGAAGGTAACAGCGCTCCCTGCGCCTTGGTGTTTAGTCATGCCGGCCACATGACCACGGAAACATCTTCGGACAGCGCTGGTTCTTCGGCTTTGAAACGGAGATGAGCACCACAACCCTAGAGTCGGATTTGACTGGCTTTCGAGCAAGGGAACCTTTACCTTTTGCTCTTTTATTCTTTTATAATAAAACACCTTACCAGTTGAACTTCAGCCTGGTTTATTTTGAGAGTTCTCTAAGGGAAAAATCCTGGTATACATTGGTGGAGATCCTGAGTTACCTTGTTTCACTTGTCACCATAAGCAAATTTCCCCCAATTAATTAGGAGACCTCCAGTTTGGGTAACACATATAGCCTACAGCAGGGGTGTCGAACTCATTTGTTATGAGGGCCAGATCTGACATAAATGAGACCTTGTTGGGCCGAACCATGTGTGTCATAAAATGTAATGCCAGGTAGCAGAGATATAAATTCTATAAAGGACACAAACACAAAGGGTTTTTTTTAACTTAAAATAAAAACATGCTTAAAATATTAGCACTCTTGCAATATTTTGTTTATTTAACAGTGTCTGATAACTGACAGTGCTTGCTCTGAATTATTGCATCAAAATGTCTGTGTTGTTGTAATCTTGAGTATGCTGTTCAGGTGTGTATCTGTAAGCTGCAAACCTACGATGACACAGCAGCAGCAGAACTGGAAGAAGAAGCAAAAGACAGCCAGTTCCACTGTGGGCCTGATAGAGGCCCTTCAGGGGCCTCATCCGGCCCCCGGGCTGCACGTTTGACACCCCTGGCTTACAGCAAGCTTACTGATGCTCTGTAAGTGTGGGGCTGGTTAGTGCCTGGATGGGAAGCCTTCCGGAAACCCTACACCAGCTTGATTTCCATGATGAAAGTAAGGCAAAATGCCCCCCCCCCGGTCTGGTGCTGCAAGAAAAAAAGCAGATCTGTAGTGTATCACCAAGCAGTGGCAATGTGGAATGGAATGCTTACCAGCAAAGAAGGCTGCATTTCCCATTACTTTCACCAGTGCATAAGAGGAACTTACCTGCTTGTGGATTTTATAGGACAAGGTAATCCTTTTTTTCTGTGCTTACTTTATGTGGGAGTCAGTGCTACTGTTACTGAGTAATCACTGCAGTTTC